CCTCATAATAAACGACGAACGGCTTCAAAATCTCTGATACAGGTCAACTCACTCTTGCACTAATGCTTAGATTTGGGGTTATTTTGGTCTAAAATAATTGGGCCTAAAGTTTAGCCGTGTCTTTAGAAATAATGAAATTTTAAAGTCGTTTTAGAATATTTTGTGTGAACACTTTCTTCCTTTCTGGTACATACCTTGGATTCCTGGATCTTGTGTGTAGAGACAACTTCTGGAATTGCACAGACCTAAATGAAAAAGTTTCTAAAAGCAGATTATCAAAGCAAACCTTGCACCGTGACAGTTCTTTCAGAGGCCCCGACGTTTGAATCTCAAAAATATTTCATACCAATTTGCTTACTAATGAAGCAATGTTCACAGGTTGGAATCCCACTGGAACAGAGGCCAGTTTAGCAATAAAAGTACGACTTTTGGTGCAGTAAGAGCACAATTGACCGTAAAACTCTCTCCTTAAACTAAAATACCCACTCTTTGGGTTAAAGTGTTTATCCCCTTGAAAACGAGAACTTTCCTATATTCTGGTACTTACAGGTTATAGATCGCTGCTGATGGGAGTTCAGAAATGCCACAACACGGCTGGACATCAGTCTGACCTAAATGAAATACTTCTCAAAAACAGAATGAGTAATATCAAAACACTGGCTTTGTAGAGCCTTTGGAATACCAATTGCAGAGCCCACTCCTTCTAAAGGCCTAGGAATTGACTGCTGACGTCCAATTCATTTCTGTCAACTATCGTGAAACAGATTCAGTGGACCGCTTGAGATCCTACGTCTTGAAAATTACAGTCTTTGGTAGACTAGGAGCACCCGTAACTAAACAAGGATCGTGGGTTTGAATCCCACTTTAGCCTGAATGAATCAGTTTTAATATCTGAGGATATGTGCATTAGTCAGCACAATCAGATTTAGTGTTCTCGCGGCCCTTTTCCCATTCGTCCTTACCCCTTAGGCGCTGTCAAACGCTCCTTTGCTTCACGCACTATATAAATCTGGAACACAAAGAATGTAACAGTTAAAACACTTGAAAAGATAAACAAGTATCTCACTTACCTTTTGAACTTGGAGGCGTTCTTCAGTCGTAATCAGTGTCGTCTTGCGTTTTTTCAGGAACGCAACCATCAGTGCATCCAAAACGAGCTTCTTGAGAGCATACGTCAAAAAATCAGTTTGGTGTGCTCGGTCTTTAGAGGGCGCGCCCAAAAAGACGTCTTTGAGGTGGCGATGTTCGAGGAAAAAAACTGTTTTAAAAGATGACGCTTAAAGTTCCTGAAATAAAACTTGTTAAATCTTATCGCTTTAATAGAAAAAATACAGCGATGAAGTGGCATTGTGTTGGTCAATCTTTATTGTTTATTTCTGAAAAGCAACTCCGTTACAACAATTTAGATTATTTAGCACTGGTTTAAAGGATAAAAATAAGCTGATGAATTTCTTTTGTTTGTTAAACTTTATTTTTCATCAACTTTTAATTACACACAACTCAATTACAATAACCTTAATATACCAGTTTCATGCTCTGCAATCGTCACTTCACTTCCACTTCGAAAAAGGTAACGCCGCCATGCGTTTCTTCAAGAACGCATCCAAAAAGAAGAATAAAATAACGTAGAAAAAAAGCCATGTGCGACTGAAGATCTCTAATGGGCGCGCCCAAATGAGATGTTTCCATTAACCGTCTAAAAAAAAGTGGAGGTAGAGCCAAAGAGCCCCAAAAATATATAATTTTCGACGTACCTGAAATGGAAAAATTAGTTGTTTGTGTTTTTACAGTAGAACACGTTGACTCGACACTTGACGTCAGTAAATGCGCGTAGTTGCGTTAAAAGACCACACTCACAACTCAGTGTTTTGTTTGTTGTTGTTTTATTTTTATTGGCGTTATTATAACAAGCATTTTGTAAGGTACCTGCAAATCAAATCATCATTAGTACTTACAACTAATTACTCTATAAATTTAAAACACGCTGACTCGACACTCAACGCCAGTAAATGCGTGTAGTTGCGTTAAAAGACCAGACTCACGACTCAGTGTTTTTTCGTTGTTGCTTTATTTTTATTGGCTTTATTACAACATGTATTTTGTAAGATACCTGCAAATCAAATCATCATTAGTAAATATACCTAATTACTCCATAAATTTAGAATTAAACTGAAAGAAAAAATCACACAGACAACATATTAGTTAATTAAAAGTCTTTTTATTGAATTCAGTTCGCCGATTACAAAATTCAGTAATCTATATATATTGGGTGCGCTCCTACAAGAATTTGGCGTCTGAGTGAGACTGAGGAGTGTGACATGTGTCCATAAACCTTGACTGACACCTCGAATGAAACACACCAGGGTCCCCCAGACGGTACGCAGGGAGTGGCGGCTTGCTATCGAAACATCCTCGATACCAAGCCTTCACATTTTTTGAATCCGAATCCGGAATCAGATCGAAAGTCGAATCGAAATCCGAAAGAGAGCCGAATAGACCGATCCGAAAATCTAATCGCCTAACAAAGAAAAAAATTCCACATACCTTGTGCCACACTGAATTCTTACTTGGACTGATTGATGTGGTGCAATGTTGCGTTAGCAACGAATCTTCTTACAAAAAAACGTTGCCGTGGAAATTCCATTTGCCGTACGCTATTCCAGACCAAGCGAGTCTGCTTTACGCAAACTTTGTACCAACATCAATCAGCCCTACTTTATATGGGATGCTGTACTCTGTCGTCATGTTCCTCCATCAAAGGACCATTGATACTGGGACCAACAATCTCACAGACCAAGGCGTACATATGTATCGTCCATGATGTTGTTGTTGTTGTTGTTTATGTTGTTGTTTATTATGCTCCAAAGATGAAGTCCGGCCGGCCAATTAAACTTAGAATTATTAAACATTAATAACTGTCTTAATTAACATTGGACTATTCGAACATTGGATTCGAGATTAGATGAAATTCCACTTCTGCGCGGAACATTTTCGGAATTGCATTCCCAATTGCTTAATTCCAAGAAACATCTGTTTGACTCGTTTCAAAATTTTTCGAATTCGTTCCCACATATATAGAAGGAAAGGGAAAAATATAGGACCTAATAATGGAAATCTCAACGTTAGTTAAGACAGCTCTTTAAAAGTTATTTCTATATGCTGTCTTCTCTGGTTTTACCTTGCCTTCCTAATCAAGAAGTCGTTTACACTACGATGTCATCGGCTTCTGTTTGCATAGAAGCAGAATGACGTCTTAGTGTAAACGATCATCAATACCATTGTCGCCATCATCACCATCGTCATCATCATCATCATCATCATCATTATCATCGTTATGTCAGGTTTGTTTCGACGTGATTTTTCTTCTCCGTTCATAGCTGCAAAGGCGGTTACCTCATTTACTTAAGAAAGTGGACTACTGGACTATCTTTCTAAGCCTCTCGAGGTTCTTTGTTCTTCTTTCTTCGGCTGGCATCTTTCCTTGATGTAGCAATGGACCCACAGTACAATACGACACAGTTCAAACAAATACTTTTTATTCACATTTCCAACATTTTGTTACAATTAACATTCAGAAATAAGTTGAATAAACAGCGTGCTGCGTGGGTTTCAGTCCCAGTAATGGCGTACTTCACGAGCTGTTGGAGGTAGAACAGTGCTGACGACTTCCGGTGGAAGGAGAACGACGAAACCAATGCCCACGAACAGTCGACGTGAAGACTACGTACGCCTACCATTTGTAGACGATCTGCGCCTGCGTAGTGCAATGCAGGACTTCCTAAGAAGAAAACTCTCCAGCGAGGCAAAATTAACAGGAAGACAAATCAAATCGTCTTAGTGTCAACGATGCCATAACTAGAGTATCCTCTCCTGCTACTTACTGAAGGACTATCTATAACCAGCGAGGTTTTCACCTGAATGCCATTCAGGGGCACGCATATCAAGGTATGGTGGGCCTCGACATGTGTGCCCCCGAATATTCGGCCTAATAGCATTCTCATGATCACTTCGCGGGGTACTAACTCTTCTTAAAGCATATCCACGGCTTGATCTTGGTCCTCCAACAATGAAACTGTGTCGTACATTGGTCTTGAAGACTTCCTACGCTTACAATTGTAAGCGATCTAGCCTATGGTGTGTGAATTGTCCCATATTGCCCAAGTAACCTACAACAAGGCGTTGGCTCTTCGCGGAAAGAAACACCTGGTCGCAGATTACCTTTGTTGTACGACTAAACCTGTCAACTGATCTACCGTCACAAGTTCGAAGTCTTCAAAAAAATTTCTCTTCACACTTGTACTGTTTAACATCGAAAGCCAAATTGGTAGGAGCAGACTTGAATTTGCGAGGCTGAACTAACTATCTACCTGTAACCAGAGAGACCACTAACCTTGTAAGCAGTGACCAAATGAGGTCCTCTCACTGAAGCTTAATGACCTGAAGTCTCTAGTTTACTAAGTTATGTTTTAGAGTAATCACTGTCTGGTTGAACCTTACGAATGAAAGCTTCACTTGCCCAGCGCATAGACTATCAAGTGAAGTGTGATTGATCAATTTAAATTTGGCGCAACTAAGCGGGAGGTTGTAGTGAAGACGACGACGACGACGACAACGGCGGCGGCGGAGGCGAAGTCCATCTGAAAAAAAAGCAAAAAGATGCAGCCGAACCGTTTCGAAGATGCCAAACCGAATACAAAAAACCGAGCCTATTCCGAAAAGCCGAACTCTCGTCGCTGACCGAACACCTGCAAAGGAACCCAACTTATGAAAAAGGGCAGGGGAGGCCCTTACCAGCCCTGGGAACCCCACTAACTAATCTAACTACAATTAAGTTAAGCCGAAAAAAGAATTCCGCAGTCTTCAGGCCGAACGTGTGTGGAAAGTATGCTTTGCAAGGTTCATCCAGAGCTCTATATACCCCCCTTGACCCAACCCATAAAGAATGCACCTGACCTGTACCAGTTCAAGAGGTTGGGTATTCTGTGCTGATTGGAAGCTGATTAGTCAAGGATGGTGGTCTGTGGTCTGGCGAGGTGATCTGATTTGGTTGTCTGGCGTGGCGGTGGAGGCCTGTTCTGATGGTCTGATTTATGGTGGTCAGGTCTGACGATGGTCTGTTGTTGTCTGATCTGAGGTCGGATTTGGTCTGGTGTGGTCTGATAGACTGGTTTGAGGGTCCAGTCTGGAGTTCCGCCAAAAAAATATGGTCTGATCCGAGAGCTGCAAATCGAAAGCATAGGAAGCTGAGGTGACAGTAGTAAAAGGCCTCAACTAAGTGCGAAGAGCTACGTAAAGGGACCCGGAGAAAAAATAAGGAGACACTTAATTTTTCGAATTCACGATTTATTCGCAACTTTGAAAAGCTCTCTGACCCAAAAAAGGTTTGCATAAACCTAACCAAACTGAGTCAGGTTTCTGGTGAAGAACTTTTTTATTCCTAATAAGTATCGTAAATTGCAGTTTTCAACATCATAGTAACTATACAGGCTCTGTCGCAATTTATTTACGCGGGAGTTCACGCGAGAGGTCGCGCATGATGTAATCATATCATGTGAGGTCTGGCTCTGGTGACGATCTTCGCGAATCTTATCCATTCCTAATCAGCATCATAAATTGAATTCTTCAACATCATAGTAACCATACAGGCTCTGTCGCAATGTATTCACGCGAGAGTTCGCTCGTGATGTGGTTATATCATTTGAGGTGTGAATCAAGCAAGGCAATTGGTTGTTTGATTTAGAGCAAATGAGAAATCCGGCCAAAAATAATGGAAACCATCTGAAAAAACTGATCAATAATTTTCTTTTAGTGCATCAGAATCAAATCGTCAATAGTCTAATTTTCAATAGCAACTGTTTAAAGCCATTTTAAACTATATTGGTTGCATGTATGCATAGTTTATCCCATCAATTCATTTTATTCTTTTAGCTAAGGTTTGTTCGAATGTTTTAAACACCAGTCTCATCTAAAGCAAGAAAGATGTATAGCCTCAACAAATTTTTTACTGTTTTTTTTTTTTAAGACTAATGAGCAGCAAAAAGGTAGATTTCTTGTAGTTGCAAGCTTTTTCGTTTATTTCCCACGAGTTTCGTGAGTAATTACTGAGACTTCTTCAAGGAACGAATACAGCTAACAAAGTACAGCATATATAACACGTTTTGGGCGCACGTAAAATTTCCGATAGAAGTAAATAATAACTTGTAATTAGGAGGGCCCTCCTGCTTGTAATTATATGCTGCAAACACGCTTTAATAGATATGTTATTGCGTGTTGTAATATCTTAGGGGCCATACGACTAGCGCTAATCGTATTCAAAAAATAAAAAAAATAAAAAATAAAAAATAAAAAAATAAAAAAATCAATTATAGCGTTTGGGGAAAGCGAAAACCAAGCAGCAGTTTACGAAGAAGTTGTTCGAGATTGCTCTTTTAACGCTTTGTCAACCATGGCCCAATCGCATTTCCCATCTTCAACAGTCCAGTTTAAGTAAATGGATTGATACTTTTTCGTCATTGGGCGGTTATCAGCATAAAACTGTTAGTTAAATGACAAAGAAATTCACGTAACATCCTTTGCAAACTTCGAGGCTTTCGGTAATAGGCAGCACTATAGCTGAGGTCTATCCTGGCTTTATTGGAAAGTGAATTGGCCTCATTTTGTGATATTAACTGAGGCAAAATCTCGCCGTTGTACACCGAGAAAAAAATGAATCAAATTCGCCGTCGTTTTTGCAAATTCCTTTCCTGGCCACTAATTTTAGTGTAGCAGAAGAGCAAGATATGATTTCCTGGGCTACTTTTAACTGGAATGTCTTCACTGAGTTTCACTTGTATTTCAGTAACCGCCACGTGTTCGACCTTGTACCGGAGCTACGAAGGGCTTTTAAAATCATGCACTAATATTACGCTTGAGCAGTAGGTTACATTTCTTCTCACTATTTCCCCGCTGAGAACAAATAACCTAACATCAAAACAAGAACATTGGACACCGAGATAACTTAATTTTAAGTTGGACTTGCCAGAATAATTATAAATTTCAACCGAATTGACGACAACTTTAACAAGTAATTTACCTCGTACGCTGGTTTTAACATCTTAGGTTGAGTGCTCTCATAGTTTGCTTTCTTGCAGTAGTGAAGCTGAGAAAGACGGATAGCCAGTTTATATGTCGAGAGCGTCTTGTTTCTCTTTCGTGAGCAACCTTCTCAAGCAGCTTTCGCAACCGAAGATATCAATTTTTGAATGTAGCGCGGAGCAACGTTTTGATTTGAATGCTAATTTTTGATTGGGTTTTTTTACTGCACGTGTCTATGTGGCAAGAACAAGGGTTGTTTACTGCATACACCTCAGGCCATTTGGGACTTGTAAGGATAATTGACATTTCAAATAAATTCTTTGCAAAGGTCTTGGGCGAGTGAACTATTTGTACGGCGGAAAACTAGAGCGCTCTCAGTTACCAGATCTTTAACTTAACATACCCCATTGAATAACCTGTTCAAAACAACGGAATTGAAGGCGTATTAATGTAGTGGATTATATTTTGCCATAAATAACGGTGACAAACAGCATCACTTATCACTTGGCGGTAACTTCGGGACGTGTCTGAAAAGAACTTCAAAGACTTTCAGAACTTTTCAGTGCGATTCGCAAGTAAGGGTGTCCAATGATTTACCAGTTTAGAACGTCATGTTTATCTCTCGGCTACCTATACATTGTGGCAAACAACAAGAAATGATTGGAAAATTATTTAGACTGGCGTTCTTCTGGGACTTCAAAAAGTTTCACTTTGATATGTCATAATTTAAGGCTCCCGCTAAAAATAAGCAAGAGACAACATAGTTTGCAAGAACAGTTCGTTCATTTTGTAGGCGTGCGTTAGGATAAAGTTGGTTTTTCTTTCCGATCCATTCCCTAGCAATTTAGTGCCTGTCTGCTGATGACCATTTATTTGTAAATTCTCTTGTTTTCTTACAGTTTCTCTAGTTTCTCATCATGGTATCGAAATTGGTCGGTGCAATCTTTCTGGTCACTTTGGTGGTTGCCATTGTCACTGCAGTTTATGACAAAGTTGACAAGCCACCTCGGCGCCTTTTTGAGGTAAGTTTTAAATAAGTGGGGGCAAAATAAGCGTTAAGCGTTCTTGAGTTTATAATTTAGTGCTGTATTTTGGACCGGTGAGGGAAAAGGAGGAATGAGTTTGCGGAATGGCTCGTGGCATGGCCTGAGGAATGATCAGGAATGACATAATTATTCGGAATGTAATATATGCAAAGTGACTCAAACAAATAAATTAAACTGAAAATTGCGCCCTTTTTTGGCACGCCTTTCAATCAGCCGCTTTTTTATTGTCGCGAGCTCGACTACGATGACAAAGGACTCCTTCATATCTCATGGTCGATTAGCTTTTTTTGCACAGCCACAAAGATTCTACTTACCTTTATATTAGTCGGGCTGAATGGCTACATCACGAAAGTAGGCCATATATGTTAAGAAGAGATGTTTTGGAAGGTCACCATCCCTTTTTTTCTGCAAAAGATATTTGCGCGATTAACTTCACTTTTTCACCTTTTAATATTCTCATTTGAAACCGCGTGAGAAGTGTTTTTTTTTTCAGACGGTGGGTCGCGCGATAGTTAGTTTGTTTATTTCATTTAGGACAACCGAATCTGCCATTTCCTGTCATCCTCTTTCCCAGGTCCTCTCTCTTCCTCCATGCTATTTTACCTTGTCCGCCGTTATGATGTTTTTCTAAGTAATGAGGAGGGTAAAAACTCAACAGAAGACTGGTTAAACTTGACATGTTTTCGTACTTTCACTGTGCTTCACCGCAAAAGAGATGTTAGAAAAGAACCGCTTCAGTTTATTTTGGAAACGAGTTATCGGTGAATTATCAAGTATTGGTGTTTCAGCTGTGTTTCAATTTTAGCCTTGTTTTAATAGCGGTAATAAAGGGACCGGCAAAGCGGTTGCTCCTTCAAATTGGCGCCAAAAAAACGCGCGGCAGAGACGCGCTCATGCTTTCCTGTTTAATTTATTTCTTTGCGCCATTTTCTATATATTAAATTACGCATAATTATGTCATTCCGCAAGCTATGCCACATGACATTCCGCAAACTCATTCCTCCTTTTACCCTCACCGGGTTTGGACAGGATGCCTTTTTCAAAAAAAAAAATTGTATGTTCGAGTCGGATCACTTTTTTCAGGTCAGATGACGATCATTATATCAGTATGTGCAGTCTGTGGTTATCTTTTATTCAAAAGCGCAAATTTTAAAGGACTTCAGGTAGCGCATATCTTTTGAACATCCGTTCAAGAGCTGCCTCATAAAGCTGTGCAATCATCAGTTTCGACAAAAAATTACGCAACGCTAACGAAGGCAGATGTTGTTGCACTATTTTCCTTGTTATTCTGACTAATTTTCTCTTGGTGTCCCGCCTTGGTCTCAGTAACATAGCCACGAAGCTTTCAGTAACCAGCCTTAATTAATTTTTCTTGGTCCTTTGAAAGTAAAGGCAGTAAAGGCACTGTTTTAACTAACTCGTGATTTATCTTGCAGCGATTTCTTCAACGTCGAAGTTGCAAAAAGGAGTGCGAATGGGGTTGTCGATATGACTCAGACTGCTGTCTTTATAAGAATACTGGCAGAAATGGACGATGCAGAAGTTACAGTAACTGGCCACACGGATAGTAAGTTCGCCTTAAGTTAGCCACTTATTATAAGTGATATAATCCCAAAAGTCCCCACCTATAACTGGCGAACAAATAAGTAAACAAATTAATTCACTCCTAAAAAGCTATAAGAAAGTCAAATAACTGTCAGTGGATAGTCTGTTGAAGAGGTTTCACTCGTGCGCACTGTTCAACTGTTTTTTTTTTTCCATCTTTACAGCGGTTTTCCATTTGAAGTGATTGTTTATTCTTCAAAATAAATTAGCTCTGTTTCCAAGACAAAAAATAAACAAAACAAGACGTTTCCCTGCATATAAGGACTAAGGTGATTATAGAGGTTTTAGAGACTTAAGATCCACACAAAATGACAAATTGATCGAATCAAGAAATAATAAGCTTCTTTCAGTAATTCTCGGTGGCTGACCTTGAAAGTGATCAAAAAAGCTCTAGCTAACGATGGATTCTGAGGTGATTCACACCACGTAAACAGTTCCAGCTTTTGCGTTTAATTCTCTAAAGCCTGATCTACATGTGATAAGAATCCCAGATAACCAAAAATTTCACTTTTTGGCACCGATCATCCAAGATTTTACCCAGTTAATATAAGAGCCACCGATTGCGCAGACATTTCCAGTCATCTGGTTTTGTCGGGGACAAATTAGAGCGCTGTTCCGTGAGCTATTTTCGGATCAACTAAGGTTTCTGGGAAACTGCACACCTACCCCTCCCATAAGCCAACATTTTGCCCTAAACGAGAAGTAAGTCATGTTGGCTTAGGGGAGGGGTAGGTGAGCAGCCCCTCCAGGTTTATATTTCCTGTGATGCTCTGGGTCATCGTGATGGTTCGCACCTGGACATGCTTGTAATATTTGGGATGTCTACTAAAGTCCTGTTTTTTAACTGTCCGCCGATGTAAACGCTTAACACAGATTTGACTGTATTTTTGTGCTTATTTTATTATGTTCTGTTTTATTTGCAGCAAATATCAGTGTATTCACCCAGACTACCGATATGTCACCACTACTGAAGTCATAAACGATGATTGCGGTACTTTTAAGGGAGGAAAATAGAACGACGATCATGCGTGTATCTAGTCTGATTTCTCTATTTTCCAATTCCCCATAACTCCCTCTGTTGCCGCCAAATTTTGCATTTTCAAATTCTCCAGGAAGGACTGCATATTCCCAAGATCATTTGAAAACAATAACTTAATACGCAAAAATTGGGGGCAAAAAGACAGAAAAGCGCATGCATTAAGGGGGGTTCGAAAAATGGCAATGAGTGAGGATGTACAGCTGGCAATGCTTTTATTTTCAGTGTGAACGTAGATTGTGTCACCTTTTAAAAGCGTTGTATTAAATTTTGTAAAATGCAGTGTGAAAGAACCAACAAATAAATTTGCTGAAGGGAAAACTCAGTGAAAAGTTATCGTCTCATCTTCTTATGGAAGTATGAGGCTACTGCGTGATACCAGAAAGGGCAGCCCCACTCAGTCAATCACAGCATTGATCGGGAATAACGCGATGTCAATCCGGACTTCGCCCCCTAAGGGATTCCGGTTGGAATTCCGGTTGTTGAATTCGAATCCAGAATACAGCTGAAGGAATCCGGAATCCAAGTTCCACTGACAGAGACTAGAATGCGGAACCTGGAAACTGGGGGAGGGGGGGGGGGGGGGACTCCCTTATATACGCCATATAGGTATGTGCCGCCCAAT